CATGGGGGCGGGGCAAGAGGGTGTCGATGCTACTACTTGACGTGGCAGGGGCCTATGATAATGTCTCACACGAACGGTTACTGCACAATGTGAGGCAACTCCGTCTAGGCCACTTCGCACCATGGATTGCATCATTCCTTCGCAACAATGAAAAACAACAACTTCAGCGCCGAATTGAACTTTTGAAATATCTCAGGAACCACGCCAGTTGGCAACTTCTCGTAAACGGCAAATTCAATTTAACTCCCTGCGCTACATTTTGATATTGGTCTCGAGTCTGCTCGACCAGTATTGCGATGTTGCGCGCGTCAAAGGGTGTTGGGCCGGCCCCAGGGGCTTCCGGCGGCTGTCACGGGTTAGACCCGCTTCTTACTATGTGGCCCTGCCACATAGCCTTCCCCGCACGTTCCGTTCTGCCACCGCCCTGTCTGCTTACTTCTATTGTTGTTCCGCTTGATCCACTCCTTCTCTTCTCCAAGCTTTTTGTAAATAGCATGTTGGCCTAGTTAGATTGAATCAAGTCTTGCTTCAGCCCTTCACATACAAAAAGCTTCCTTCTCGTGATCGAGTCGTACTAGCCAGCCAGCCAGAATTTCGTTTTCCCCTAGCCAGACCCCCGATTCCCCGCCGAAATGGACCAGAACCAGCCCCTTTTTGCTTTAATTCAGCAACTCCAGCAACAACTCGTCGACCAGCAACGCCAGCTAGAGACCCTCGCGCCTACTCGCTCGCATTTCAGACTACCAGACCCGCCTAGATTCGACGGCCGACCATTTAGTCTAAAGACGTGGCTTCCAGCTATTCAAGCAAAGCTACGGTCGGACGGCTTAGCCGGTCAACAAGCATTCGACTACGTATACGATCGCCTTGAGCCACCCCAGCAAGCCTCAGTCTTACATCTTCGCGAAACCAACCCGACACCCGAAGCAGTCTTCCAGTATTTCGAACGTCTTTGTCATAATCCTCGTGAGAAACAAGATGCAGTTCTCCGATTCGCCAATATCCGCCAGAAAGACGACGAAAGCCTAGTTGCCTACCTCGCCCGATTCGAACGTCTATCGCACGAAGCCAAGGTTCACCAGCAGGATCTACTTCGTACGATTACGCTACACCGCGGACTACGCCCCGCGTTACGCCAGATTCTTGAGCAGTCGTATGACACTCTATTCGATCTCGAATACGATGATTATATAGAACTACTCCAACGTCATGACCGCCGCCAGCAGCGCCCGGTCACCCAACGTCAGAACCAGATTAGCCAGAACCAGATTAGCCAGAACCAGACTAGCCAGAACCAAACTCGCCAGACTCAGACTCGCCAAAGCCAGCTAGACCTAATGGACCTTGACCCAGTTCGTATAAACGCCGCCCAATCATCACCAGTTCGAGTGAAATCAAACCGCGTGCGCCTATCAAAACCGCCACTCCCACTAGGCTTTAATAACCCCGCTAATATCGCCGAGCGCGCGAAGCACGGGCTTTGCTACTACTGCGGTGCATGTAGTCACTGGATATCTGCGTGTCCTTTTCGACTTGCCGCGAATAAACGGTCTAAATCCCTCAGTTTAGATTCAGCAACGGACCAGTCCCGAAACGACCCCGATTCGTCGCCGTTTTGGAATTCAGACGGTTACAACTCAGATCACCCTTCTGACCTAGGAGGGGGGTAATGTCACGGGTTAGACCCGCTTCTTACTATGTGGCCCTGCCACATAGCCTTCCCCGCACGTTCCGTTCTGCCACCGCCCTGTCTGCTTACTTCTATTGTTGTTCCGCTTGATCCACTCCTTCTCTTCTCCAAGCTTTTTGTAAATAGCATGTTGGCCTAGTTAGATTGAATCAAGTCTTGCTTCAGCCCTTCACAGCGGCCCATTGAAAAATCTGCCATCGAACAGAGAGCGCGTATTGAACGCCAACCACGCGGCACACGACCTTCTGAAAGAGCTTGGAAGGGGTCAGAATGCAACTAGACCAGCCCCAAAGGTCGTCAGCTTCCTCCGCCAGGTGGAAGACCTGACGAAGGACCTCCTGTCGACGCCCCTGACCGACTGGCAGCAGGAGCTCGAAGCACTGCGCAGAGACCTTAAGCAGGAGATCACTACGGCCGTCAAAGCGGCTGTCGAGCCTCCAGCTAGACAGACGATTCGATCATTCGCCGAGGTAGTTGCGCGCGCGCCAGCGCCAGCGCACTTCCAATCCTCCCACAGCTCGTCGAGCAGCTCCCCAACGCGCCCGGCGGAGGTAGCACGTGACCGCGAGGTCGTGGTGTGTCTTGGCGATCGCTCGCAGATCAGCGCATTCCGCCGTCTGACGAGCGCCGAGCTCACCAAGCGTGCGAACCAGGCCCGGGCGAAGGCGGCCAGAACAACAGATACGCCGGCCCTCGCATCGGTGAAGATCCTCGCGTCGCGCCAGCTGAAATCAGGCGATCTCCGATTCACCGTGTGCGATGCGAAAGAAGCCGAGATCATGCGAATCCACCGAGAAAAATGGGCGAAGGGCCTCTGCAAAACGGCGTTCGTCCACATGCCGACATGGGGAATCATTGTAGACGACGTCAATGTACGCTCGCTCGGGATCAACAGGGCGTCGGACGAGATACCGCAGGAGAGAGTGATCAAGGATCTGTTAGCGAGGAAAAACAACAACTTCAGCGCCGAATTGAACTTTTGAAATATCTCAGGAACCACGCCAGTTGGCAACTTCTCGTAAACGGCAAATTCAATCTAACTCCCTGCGCTACATTTTGATATCGGTCTCGAGCTTCCTCGACCGATATTGCGATGTTGCGCGCGTCAAAGGGCGTTGGGCCGGTCCCGCCAGGGGCTTCCGGAGGCCCATTGAAAAATCTGCCATCGAACAGAGAGCGCGTATTGAACGCCAACCACGCTGCACACGACCTTCTGAAAGAGATTGGAAGGGGTCAGAATGCAACTAGACCAGCTCCAAAGGTCGTCAACTTCCTCCGCCAGGTGGAAGACCTGACGAAGGACCTCCTGTCGACGCCCCTGACCGACTGGCAGCAGGAGCTCGAAGCACTGCGCAGGGATCTCAAACAGGAGATCCAGGCCGTTAAAGCAGCTGTCGAACCACCAGCTCGGCAGACGATTCGATCATTCGCTGACGCAGCTGCGCGCGCACCAGCGCCAGCGCATTTCCTCTCCAGCAGCTCGTCGAGCAGTTCACCAACGCGCCCGGCGGAGGTGGCACGTGACCGTGAAGTGGTGGTCTGCCTCGGCGACCGCTCACAGATCAGTGCGTTCCGCCGTCTGACGAGCGCTGAGCTCACCAAGCGGGCGAATCAGGCCCGGGCGAAGGCGGCTCGAACGACTAATACCGCGCCCCTTGCGTCCGTTGCGGTGCTTGCATCGCGGCAGTTGAAGTCTGGTGATCTCCGCTTCACGATGCGCGATGCGAAGGAGGCCGAAATCATGCGGATCCATCGAGAGAAATGGGCGAAGGGCCTGTGCAAGACAGCGTTCGTCCATATGCCGACATGGGGAATCATCGTGGACGACGTCAATGTACGCTCGCTCGGGATCAACAGGGCGTCGGAGGAGATACCGCAGGAGAGAGTGATCAAGGATCTGTTAGCGAGCAACGTGCAGTACTGGGGGGATAGGGCTGATATCACGAAAGTCAGCTGGCTTCGCATCCCGTCAAAGAAGAGTGGCTCACTAGTCGTTGAGTTTACCTCTCCAGTACCGGCGAATGTGGCGATTGATAAGGGGGTCCTCTGGGACTGTGATAATTTGACGGCTAAGGTCTACGACCGATCAGCTCGTGTGCGGCAGTGTTTCAACTGTCAACAATATGGGCACATAGGAACCACCTGTGCCAACACCGCGAAATGCGTGTACTGCGCCGAGGGCCATCAGTCTCGGGATTGCCCACGGAAGGATACGCAAGAGAACAAGTGTGCTAATTGCGAGGGCGTACATGCTGCGTGGAGCACCGAATGCGAAGCACGCCAGCGGGAGTTTGAACGTGTGGCAGAACTGTCAAGGCACCGTGGAAGATATCACCACGTGCCGGCACCATACAGTGTCAACCAACCGCCGGCTACCCTGCATTCCTCCTCCGTCAGCTCGTGGGGAACACCGAGGGATTCATCATCGAGTGAGGAGTCCACTAGTGAGCTACTCACTCGCGGCGTTGAGAGTAGCGGTCTCACGCCAGCCGCACGCCCTAGCAACAGGGGCAAGGGCACCGGCCCGAAAACAACAACTTCAGCGCCGAATTGAACTTTTGAAATATCTCAGGAACCACGCCAGTTGGCAACTTCTCGTAAACGGCAAATTCAATCTAACTCCCTGCGCTACATTTTGATATCGGTCTCGAGCTTCCTCGACCGATATTGCGATGTTGCGCGCGTCAAAGGGCGTTGGGCCGGTCCCGCCAGGGGCTTCCGGAGGCCCATTGAAAAATCTGCCATCGAACAGAGAGCGCGTATTGAA